ATGAGGGGGGACCCACTGTCCTCCCCCCGGCCCCAACCCCTGCGCGGTGGGTGGGGGCCATAAATTACAATGGGGGGATCTACTGTCCTCACCCCCGGACCCCATCCTTGAGCGGTGGGTGGGGCCATAAAGATAATGGGGGGGACCTACTGCTGTCCCCCCCCGGCCCCCACCATGAGCAGTGAGTGGGGACCATAAAGATAATGAGGGGGAACCTACTGTCCTCCACCCACTGGCCCCCACCCCTGCATGGTGGGTGGGGGCCATAAATTACAATGGGGGGACCTACTGTCCTTTCCCCCCGGCCCCCACCCCTGGGCGGCAGGTGGGAGCCCTAAGACAAATTCCCCCCATCAAAGGTGACTAGGGGTCCCTAAGCCCCTAGTCACCCACCCCCCCCACCCAAATAAAAAGTTACTCCCTACCTACCCCTCTCACCCTAAAAAATAGTGAGGGGGGAATAAAATAACTAACCTGTAGAAAAACTTACCATTTGACGTCTACTTTTTTCTAAAATCTTCATTTTTCAGCCCCAAAAAAGGCCAAATAAAAAACCATCATACCTGTCGAACTTAAAATAAAATAAAAAACCCGAGCGCAAAAAAAAAAAAACCTGACGAAAAAGAAAAAACCCTTTCGTAGATAGCTCCCTGATACTGTGGGAATTAGGGAGTCATCTACTAAGCGGCTGCAAGATGCTGCCGTGGCAATGAATAGGATCAGAGTTTCATTCATTCGAATGAAATTCCGATACGAACAAAGTGCCGAATTGCGTTCTAACACTAAGTGACAGGACGTTCGGCAATACTGACAGGAGGCATCGTGGAAACAGGGAGGAAAGCTAAGGATCATGGGAAAATTGCTGTGACCACCGGAAACGAAGCACACTTTGCTCCTCCGCTGGTCACCGCTGGTCACAAGAGAAAGAGTCCCTATTTTGGACAGGTAAGCAAAGAGCGATCACATGGCCGCAATAGCTGGCTGTGGATCTGCCTGCAGGGGGACAGTCTGGGTTGTCAGACAGTCCCCCTGCTGGTGGGAAGTATAAAAAAAAATGAATAAACATGTTTAAAATAAATTAAATGTATATATATATATATATATATATATATATATATATATATATATATATATATATGATACCAGTAGAGAGCACTCAGGAGTCTTTCAAGGTAAATTTCATCTGTTGCTTTATTGAGCAATTACAAATTCACACAACGTTCCAGTCGACGTTTCAGTCCGTAAAATACTTTTTTCAAGACAATTGTGTATGTGAGATGGATACCTTATATACAAAAAACACAGTGATCCCATTTGAAGGTGAACAGGTGAAAGGTAACAACGGATCAGAGTGATGTCATTAATGACGTAAACATGTTTGAATTACATAATAGATTGAAGTTAACCCTCTGTGTAACCGGTATGTGAAACATACTCTTGTGTAGATAAGTCAGAAAGTAATAAAAGATAAATAGCTATAAAAATAAAGTATATACAAATATTTCAACCCTAATCAAGGGAACATATATACATAGTACATATCGTCATTAGCTAAATATTAACTCACTTGTATTGTCAGTGCAATTTTGAAGCATTATACGATATGGACTACTTCCATCATGGAGTTACGGCAAATAACTGTACTATATTAATGCATTCTGTAAAACATAGCTCAATCATATATTATCTTCTAGGTAAAAAACAATATAATGAGTTGTTCTCTTTTAAACCAGATGGTGATAATGTTTCCAATAAAATATATACATCTTATATATATGTAATGTCATACGTAGTGTATTTTAATATTAATATAAGTACATATATTCGTATTAAAATACACTTAGAATTAAGTTAAATATGTATAAGATATATATAATATATATATATAATACATATATTTTATATATATATATATACATATATATATATATATATTAAAAGATATATATGTATAGTTACAATAATAAATAAAGAAAATAAAAAAAATAATAAATAAAAATTTTTTTAAATGAAAATAAATTATATATACATATGTTATTTCACTCTAACTGTATTTTGTTATATATTGGTAACAAAATACACTAAGAATGACATTGTGTATATATATATATATATATATATATATATATATATATATATACAAAAGACAAATAACCGCAAATAAATATATATATATATATATAGATAGATAAATATATATAATTACATAAATGATTACATAAGTATACACATAGAATTTAAATACATATATATGTATCTATATTAACATTCTATGTGTATATTTAAGTAATCGTTTAACATAATTATGTGATTTTATTAATTCAAATTTGATTGACATGCCTGACAACCCAGGCAGAAAGTGCAGATAATTTAATTCACAAACACTATAATCAACCCTGTAACTTTCCAAGACACCATAAAACCTGTACATGGGGCATACTGTTTTACTTGGGAGACTTCGCTGAATACAAAAACAAATATGAATGCTAACTTTGGCTAGTGTTTGTGACTAAGTGGCTACTAAAAAAGACTGGACATACCAGTGGTTAGATGGTAATAAATGCGATGTAGATGGGCTTAGGTCACATGTTATGTAGCTAAAAATATGAATGTGACTAGGCTAGTGGGTATGACTAGCAGGTAAGATGGGTCTATCTGACTGGATAGGGGAATTCGATCAGTCCAGAGTAAAGTTGGGTGGCTGAATGGCATATTTGTGTGGAGTGTTAGTGTGTGTGTGTGAATGATGGTTATATTTGTGTACAGTGCTAGTTTGTGAATTTAGTGGTATGTTTTTATAGAGATCCAGTGTGTGCATGAGGAGCATATTTGTGTGGGATGTTTTAGTGTGCATGTGTGGGTATTTATTGTCCATGTATCGGTGTGTTTGTACACTGTTTCCAATTCCCATCTGCCCCCTTTTATCTCTCCATGCCTCTCTATCCATTAATCTCCCCTTTACATGTGTTCCTCTCCTTTCCCCAAATATGCCACTCTCCCCATAACTCTCCCTTTTTCTAATTACTATCTCTTATCTTCCCCGCTTCCTTTACTTGTTCCCCTCTTCTTTTCTATTCTCTCATTTGTTTCCCACTTCTTTCCTCTTCCCTTACTTGTTCCCCTCTTCCTTTTCCATTCCCTAATTTTTGTCCCCTCTTCTTTCCACTATTTCTCACTTGTTCCCTCTTCTTCATCTGCATCCCTCACTTAACCCCTGTGCTTTCCTAATTAAATCACCTGTTCCACTTTTCCACCCTGCCTCACACAATAGTACCCCTCTTTTCTCCTTTCTGCCCTCTAATCTCACCTTCTCTCACTTGTTCTCCTCTTATTTTCCCCCTCACCCAGTTGTTCACTTTGACTCTTACCACTATAAAAGAGCAAATTAAACATTCACCAATGATACATTTACGGTGCATGCCACAGGGGAAATCAATTACAGAGATACTGAGAACAGAGACAGTTAAAAATCTTAACAATTCCACAAATAGTTATTATGAAGATACCAACATTATATTGTGTAAGTGTAATTAAAGTATATGTATCATATAGATCAATCGTTCAATTAGAGTTAGAACAATATTCCCTACCTTTTGAATGTTGTCATATAATATATTGGCCTATGATTGGCAACTAGTTGGCAATGTGCCAAACTGTTAGTGATGTAGATCTATTGACCCATCCCAAACACATGTTTGTGTAGCTGTTTGTAGAAGGCAACCAAGAGAAATGTGTGAACATGGATGTGTAATAAAAAATGTGTGAATATCTGTAGTACAACTAATGGTAAGATGGTTTACTGCAAAGAAGATGCTGTTAATGCCTTCCTCTATTTCTGGGATAAAGCCATTCTTGTCTTTGTAAAAGGACAAGTACAAAACGTACAGATCACCTTGCATTCCATATTTAGATATGTGATAAAATGGATGTATTAATACATATAAAAATAATGGGAAAATGCTCAAGTTCATTCAGAAGGAATGTGTAATCCTGTGTATAGTTTACACAATACTTTGGATGAATGAAGCACTATATAGTGCATTTAGATTCATGTCACTATTTTTCAAACAACAACTTTTTTTGAAGACTTTATAATCACCGTATAAATCACTCTTTCCGATATAAGAAATGTAACATAATATTCAATCATTTTAGGATTTGTAGTTTACACTGATCAGCCACAACATTACAACCACTTGCCTAATATTGTGTAAGTCACCCTCATGCTGCCAAAACATGGAGGCACGAATTCCACAAGACCTCTGAAAATTCTGCCTGTGGTATATGTCACCAAGACATTAGCAGCAGATCCTGCAAGTTGGGAAATGGGAGCATTCCACGAGACTTGCTGTTTTGGAGATGCTCTGCCCCATAGGTCTAGCTATCACTATTTGGCCCTTGTTAAAGTCACTCAGATCTTTTTGCTTGCCCATTTTTCCTGCTCCCAAAACATGGAATTCAGGAATTGACTGTTTACTTGCTGCCATATATATACCAACCCTTACAGGTGCCTTTGTAACAATATAATCAAGGTAATTGTCAGTTGTTTCAATGTTGTGGCTGATCAGTGTATATCCTTAAGGAACACTCCAAGCACCATAACAGAGCCTGCTGGAGTGGTTATGGTGACAAGAATTCCTTGAGGCCATCCCACCAAAATCACTCCAACTGTTTTAACATAGTTTGATTCTTATCTGGTCCCACTTGATCCTTTTGGGCCTTTAGAGCAGAGGAAGCTGTATGCCGATGTAGGTGTTCATTGATTTAGAACATCAGCTGGGCATTATCAGACAAAGAATTAGTTACTTTCTAGGGAAAAATGACACCTGGAATTTCCTGCTCAAGAAGGCCTGAAGCAAAGTGGGCATCCAGTGGAACCCAGGTAAGATTACTCTGGGATTCTGCCAGGCTACTCTGGGTCCCATGGTGGTTGGAGTGTTCCTTTAAATTAATACTTCAGGCACATAAAGCATATCAGCTGGGGCGTGGCCGAGCCGAGCATGCGACAGGACATGTAGTAGTTGAGCTCCGCTCCCCCTGGCCATTAAAAGCTATAATCTAGCGACCACCTCTCTTAAAATGGTCCGAAACAAGAAGCCCCAGACCCTGGGTGGCACCCAGCTCCCCGAGCAATGAAAGCGCGGGAGATCCCTCACTAGACAGCACTCAGGATGACACGCTGGCGCTGATCAGACAGGAGCTGTCCATGATATCAGTGCAGATGCTTACCAAAGTTGACATGGGGGGACTCCTGAGAGAACTCCGGTCAGCCATCAAAGAGGAAATCATGGCCCTGCGGGCAGACTTAATGGCGGTGGAGGCGCTGGAAACGGAGGCCCAAGCGAGCCGTTCATAACACCAAGCCGCTGAACTAGCCACCACGCATCAGGGGAACCTGCTCCTCTCTCTCCTACGCCAGGTTGAAGATTTAGAAAACCGGAGCCGAAGACAAAATATTTGGATTAGAGGCTTACCTGAACCCGACACGGCACCCCTGCAAGAAACACTGAAGGTCCTCTTCCGGCAGATCCTAGGCCAGGAGTGTCCAGCGGAGATCCAACTGGACCGGGCGCATAGGGCACTGGGACCGCAGAGACTGGACAGCAGGCCACGAGATGTCCTGTGCTGCCTCTATGCCTATAGCCTTAAGGAACGACTGATGGCAGCAGCCCGAGACTCGGAAAGCATACACTTCAGGGGAGCGGATGTGGCCCTATTCCAGGACCTGTATGGTCTCACTCTGGATGCCAGGCGAGCAATCCGGCCCCTAACGACAACCCTGCGAGACAAAGGTATTGCATACCGGTGGGGCTTCCCATTCAGCCTCCAGATTCGGCAGGGGAATACCTGGCTCCACGTGCGCTGGCCGGAGGATGTACCACGAGCCCTGCGAGCCCTTCACCTGCCGAACATCCGCATCCGGAACTGGCTCCTGGATAGTCTGCTGGCACCACATCAAGACACTGCGGGTGAATATCGCCCACCCCCAACCCCGAGAGAGGGTGCGCGGGCCCCAAGGATGCTGGGAGGCCTGAGAGGTGCGGAGGAGTAAGAAGAACATGGCCTGACGACAGCCAGGCTGCCAGGTACTGGGGTTTCGCCGGGAGCCGGGTCTGCATCTGCCCCTAGGGGAATAGCTGAGTTAGGTGGGGAGGGAAGCGAAGAATCCTCACCTGCTAACCGGGGACACAACCCCCCCCCCCAATAGAGAGGGAATCTTCTGCTGTGGAGTGCCCCTTCTCTCCTCACTCCGCGGGATCCGGACCACCGGGGGCGGGGGGGAGGGAGGGCAAAGCGATGTTATTGATTTACTGTGGGACTCTTGGGGAATTGCTCTCAATGGACGCAGGGAGGTGAAGGGAGCCCCGCAGTCTAAACCTGAACAGCTGCGGGACACTGGGAGAAAATGCCCTTCACTGAAACGGAGGGAGGGAGGAATACCGCACTATATTGCCCGACAGCCAACAGTCACTGTGGGAATTGCTCTTAGGCAATGTGGGGAGGAGGAGGGAACACCACTATACGTTGGGGATCCGCTACCAGACATAGATGGGGTGGTACCTATAGGACACCGAGACGGGAGCTGGGAAAGCCATATAGCCTGGGAGACTTGATTAATGGGGGGAGGAAGAGCATTACAGATGACTGGGACGGGGAAGCCGTTAGAGCAGCCGTCTGATTAGCCCAAGATGATAGCAACACACAGCGAAGGGAGCAAGCCAAAGAAGGAGGAGTCTAGATAGGGAACCCACAGGTCGCAATGGATAACAGCCGCTTGAACACCCTTCTAGCTGGGGCTACTTTGGGGGAGGCAGGCCCAGCCCTGCACTGACTTCACACTTTCTAGAGGAGGAGGAATTACACTAGATCACAAAGGCTGGGGGGGAGCACAAAAGGCACACACCAGATCCACACACTACCCTGTGCCTGCAGACGCGCACGCACCCACAGACACACTGTGCAAACTACTAGGAAGGAGTGACAAGGGGGGATATATTTAAAAGGGATAACCCACCCCTTCCCCACTCACCAACCTAGACAGTTGAGTCTGACATTGTATATAGTTTTACTGTTCTTTTCACTGACAACCGACACCTTAGACGACCCACCAACCAAGACCACATTACTACTACGCACGAGCACCCAGACTACTGAACACCCGTACTCTGACCGGGATGGTTCTCGTGAGCCTCAGGCCCACCCCCCCTTTCTTCCCTCCTTTTTTATTTCCCTTTCCTCCCTACCTACCCCTCACCGGTCCTTGTGCAGCTGCGACAGCCCATATGGCCTCACTGGACACCGGGAGGTTTGCCCCGGCACCCCTACGCGTCTGGTCCATCAACGTCTGGGGCCTGAACACCCCGCAATGGAGGTCACATTTGCTGAGAGCCCTGTGGGCAAACAGGGCCTCGGTAGCCCTCCTACAAGAGACCCATTTTCAGGGGCCAACGGGACGGTACTCCGAGACCTGAGGTACCCCATGGGATATTTTGCCAATCACAGGGACAACAAGAAAGCAGGAGTGGCCATACTCTTCGCCACTCATGTCCCCTTTGTCTGTACGGAGGTGAAGACCGACCCACTTGGACGCTACATCTTCATTAAGGGCTCCATAGCACACAAGCGCCTCCATATACGCACCCAACACCAGACAGCATCGTTTCGTCTCCAAAACCTTAAAACTACTGGGACACCTAATCCTGGCAGGGGACCTCAATCTACCAATAGACCCCCGGATAGACACCTTAAGGGGGCGCAGCTCACTGCCAGACACATGCATCAAAACTGTACAATCGGCGCTCAGAATGGCGGGACTAGCGGATTGCTGGAGAATTTTACACCCGGAAGCCAAAGACTTCACATATTTCTCCCCGGTACACCGTGGCTATAGCCAATTAGATTACGTCCTCATCTCGCAAGAATACCTTAACCTTTTACAAAAATGGGAAATACTCCCAGCTGCCTGGTCAGACCACTCGCCGGTTCTGGCCCAGTTGGCCTCGCCCCTACACAAAGCTACAAGAAGACAGTGGAAACTAAATGAACAACTACTCAGCGACCATGCAATCATAGCAGAAACAAAGATGGTGCTCCGCGAATACCTTGAGGAAAATGACCCCGCTGACACGTCACAACTGATCCGCACATAAGTGCGTGATTAGGGGACATTTTATTAAGGTTTGTACCGCTAGGAAGAAAAAACAAAGCAGACATCTACAAGAGCTCCATGCGAAGATCGCCTGCCTGGACCAAGAACATAAATCCACCCAGACAGAGGCGGTATACCGAACCCTGCAAGAGACCCGCCGGACCCTGCAACACCTGCTCATGAGAAATCTGGCCCACACGATCCAGAAAAGCCCATCGTCACTTCTACGAACACTCCAACAAATGCGGCCGTATGCTGGCCAGAATGTTGAGACAGCAACGCCGCATTAGGGTGCGGTAGCGGACACGAGGCGGCCCCATAACGCAGGTACCCGACAAGATAGTTGATGAATTCCGGGAATTCTACGCCGGTCTCTATAACATCCAGACAGACGTGACGAACCCCGAACTTGATAGGAGAAAGAGACTAACGCGGGAATATCTGGAACAACAGATATTCTCGGATCACCCCCTACTGGCAACAGATCCACGACAAACTTACTGAAATCTTTGATGCGGACATCCCCATGGAACCCCTCCTCATGCTACTCAATCACACTCAGATGCCATTAGGGCGCTACAAGAAAAACCTCATTAGACATTTCCTTAATGCAGCCAAAAGCCTCATCCCTGCCAGATGGAAATCATCGGACATTCCTACCATCTCACAATGGATGGACAAGGTCGATGAGCTTTTTGCAATGAAGTCCCTTACTGCGGAACACAAGAACGCTGCACCCGTCTGTGGACATATGTAGCCGACCGGAGGAGGGGGCGACCAGAGGCTGTCTGTCCGGGCCTAGGGAGGAGGCAGAGTAGAGTAGGAATGGGCTGGACCGCAGCACCTTTCTTTTACCGCCCCGCTACCGCACCCTAATAGGAACAACCTCTAGCCTGGGATGCGAAGGCTGACCTGTTGGAGTACCTCCAAAAACACAGTACTCAGGGGGTTGGAGTGCTGCACCCCTACCCCTATTGACATCCCCCCAACAGGGCGGACCAGACCAGTAGCACCAGACGATGAATTCTCTCCAGTCTAGATATGGGGACAGCCGCGCAAATAGAGACTGAGACATAGGTGTACAAGAAGGGAGAGGAGACAAGGCCATATGCAGACGAAGCCACACTCGGACGGGGAATATGAGACCTTCCCCGGAGGGACCCGCCGCCAGGCATGGACAAGGGCGATGGGGAGAAGGACGGAGGGTGACACAATTAGACGGGATCCCGACCCTGCAACCAGGACACCAAGACCGGTAGGCATAATAGCTAAACGGATCAACCCAAAGGCATTTGTTTCCATCCAGAAATACAGATGGCTATGACAGTTGGCGCGCCAAAGATCACCTGCTTGGGGCAGCCCCCCCCCCTAAGGGGGGTGGGTCGTGCTCAAAGCTGATGTGAGGACCTTACCCTGCACGTAACATCCCTGGGGAATAGAGTAGGACCGAGTTAGGTCCGCCGAGAGGGGACATACCCAAACAGAGAAGCATAGCCACAACACACAACCCAAAAATCGACACACATGCCCACACGATCTAGTGGCCAAATGCTAGCTACCGCAGAATGCATAAACAATGCCACACCGGCAAGCCCAACGCTAAGAGCCCAACCCGACTTGACTTAGGACCCACGACTAAACCTCTCTACAAAGTCTGACCCTATACTATTAACCATTACAAATTTTTTTAAAAAATCCCGAACGGGTTTATTGAGTTTATTAATGCTTGTTACAACGTGTCAACTGCCAATGTTTAACCTGTACTGTTAACATGTTGCTCCAAAATAAAGAATGTCAAAAAAAAAGCGCCTCAGCTAGCTTTATGTGTCTGGAGGCTGTCATTTTTTCCACAGTTTACAAAAGTGCCAATTCCAATAGAAATCAACACTTTTACAGTTGGGAGCAGAAGCAGCTCCCCGGCTGTCACTCAGACAACCAGGGACGTTTTCTTTCACTTCTGTTAGCACCACATATCTAATGGTAGGGGGAAAAGTGCTGGTCTAGAACTGTACTACAACTTATTAAGATGCATTGGAAAGTTGTGAATGTGTGCTTGTGCATGAGCTAGCAGCCTCAGCACAGAGGCTTTATAATGAAATGTCACTTGATTGGTGGGCTTTCATTTATATTTGTATTGTCATTTTGTGAAGTTGCATGCAGAGCTGGATTAAGATTTTCCAGTGCCTTAGGCCGGCTGCCTGATTGGAGACTCCTCTATTGGCCCTGAATGTGCCAGTGTGGAGAACTTTGATTTCATCTATTAACCTCAGCCATTGGCCACCATGGCCCACAACATCACTACAATTGCCCTGTTTCCCCAATGGCCAGTCAGGGCTTGGCGTCCTAATGGACTCTGCTGGATCTCCAGGTTCAGACAGGATGCTGTATGAGAAGAGTGAGTAACATTGTTTCATAATACCCTCCACTCCATACAGACAGCACTGTCGAGTATCTCAGCTGGCACCTGGGATGGATCACCAACACCCCCTCCCCCCCCCACCTAGGTACACCACTGAAGTTATTATAGTTCAATTAATAAGTAAAAAAAAAATCATATACTGAGTCAGTTATCTTTTTATAGCCATGCCCCAAGCCCTCCGATTCAGTGAGTATTCCAATCAAATTCCTGCACACCCAATTACACTGTGATGTCAGCATGCCTAGTGTGCCAACGCCAGCAGAACTGGGCTGTTGCTTGTTAAGAATGGGTGATTGTTTCCTGTGATGCGCGCTCTTGTGTTCTGTTTTTCACGCGCAATGCTGTCTTCCAGACAAAGCTTACAGGTACAGCTCTCCATTCCACAAGCTGGTTCCTATTTTAATAATAAAGAAACTTGCAGAATTGTTAACCATTTACTCTCACACTACCTACAATTAATATAAAAGCCATAAGATAATTGTTTCAAATGCCTCATTCACCGCTGTGACCATGGCTTTAAATTAATTCAATGAAAGTACTGTTGAACGAGTGGAGTGTTATCTTTCTCTCCCCAGTTCAAAGTAACTCCCAAAAATACCTGCTAAATAATGAACTAAATAAAATACTCTTAAGCAATACAAATGTATTTTAACAATTTCTCTGAAAAGACTTATGACAACAGTGAGCTGATCTGACATTCAGCTCGCTGCTTGCTTGCGAACGCACGCACAATGAGCATGCACAGAGTAGCATCTGCGATTTTTCATAGAGAAACATTCAACAATTAGTTATGAATATTATTTACGAGAGCTGCGCATGCTTCTCTATGAGAAGCTATTGATTATACCAGACTGAAACGATGACTCGTGATAACGCAGAGCAAACTGCAAACGTCGATGGAATAAAGGCAGGTAGATATTTCGAAATTAAAAATCAAACAATTAGGAAGATGGCAATTATATTTATTATTAATTTAATGTGAAAACATATTTAAAAAGGAATACATCTGGCAAGAGTACAGTGTTCCTTTAATAGAGAATGCAGATGTATCATGGAAGTTTTTTATGGAATGTAAACGTGAAGAAGGCTATTATGTGTTTTATTAAGGAGAAAAAGGTTAATTTTTGTGTATGGATTCTGATAAATTATTGCAATTGTTCCAGTGTATAAGTAACTAAGACTATATTAAAGACTAAAAGAGATACTGGGCAACCATGTTGGACTTTCTTCTTTAAAGTCAAGAGCATTACATTTAGTCCATTAGTGTTAACAACTATGGTTGGATTATTCTGCATTTGTTTTGATGCAAGTATGCCACTACTTTAGCAAATTTAGCATCCCATTAGATCGGTCAAAATGTCTGGAGTCCCCTGACACCAACACTCTGTGTTAAATTCTTTTTTAAATGATGTTACCCTAAATGATGGTCCCTTTCTGTCTGCAGCCTGGCTCAAGCTTAAGTTATGGCAGTGTGCTCAGAAAAAAAACACAAATGCCTACAGGCATTGGCACTGTTTTTAAGTGTCATTTAGTATAAAACATTTACATTTACAAATATATTTTTTCTAATTTCATTTCCTGAGAACATCATACATCCCACCAATATGGACAGCTAGTGTGCCCTCAATTTATAAATAAATGCAATATTGGGGTGCCATAAACCCAAAACAGCACATACCAAAATATCTTGATAAAGACCGCAAGGTCGAAACGTTGATCCTTATAGGCACCATTTGAATACATTAATTTAATTGGAAACCCATTGAGTGTGCTCATCTTTATTTCTTGTGTATATATATATATATATATATATATATAATAAATAATAAATGGCTTGCACTCACGGTTTCATTGAAGTAAAAAAGATTCCTTTATTGCAAATTCATAAGACACTGATCGACGTTTCAGCCCCCGTCTGTGGCTTTCCTCAGGATCATACAACACAACATACATATAATAAAACTAACTTTTATAGTAAAACAATTGATTAATTAATTGGAAAAGCACTCACCATTCAGGTGTTCACTCAGTCCCGACAGCGTCTCTCCTCCGAGAGTGCGCATGTGCCGGCTCCTGAGGAAAGCCACAGACGGGGGCTGAAACGTTGATCAGTGTCTTATGAATTTGTAATAAAGGAATCTTTTTTACTTCAAAGAAACCGTGAGTGCAAGCAATTTATTATTTATTTTATATGTTTTGGCACTTGGCTTCAAGAATGCACCAGGTGACACTAATATTTGCGTGTGTGCAAGGACTATTAAGCTTATATATATATATATAACAAGACCTAGATCAAAGCAATTCACCAAAACTCCCTTTGATGATGATCCTGTCCATTGAAGTGATATTGGTAAAGATCGAAATTTCAATAGACCTTTCGAATGTCCTCTAATGCCCTCCAAGCTTCATCTCTCTACAGTCTAGCGGAGAGCACTGTTGAAATTCAGCTATGCATAAGGGCAAAGCAGTAATTACTATCCAAATGAGAGATGTAATGGCTTAGGAAAGTCCATCTGGCAAGCAAGCATTCCTTTACGAAAAACTAAGACAGAGCAAATTTAATTAAAATAATTAATAATTAAAATATGCAAAAAAAATTCAAACATGGAATTCTACTTTGTGTATGTGAATTTAGGGTTCTTATACATATTGCGTAAAATGTAAATGTTGAGCTATTTTATACAGAAATATAAATGATACATTTATTTTAAGCTACTGACATAGAATACAACTATTTGGAGATGCAAGATTAAACCAAGCAAATCATCCAACAATATGTTGCACTAGCATTCACTGTTTTTACTAAATAAACTAAAGGGAACTTCAAAAAAAGTATATTATAATCTTTGCTCATTAAAAACGTAGAAGTTCAAAACAGTCTAAATAACACATGAATATTCACCTTTTTCCATATATACATAAAAATCACTATATTCACAAACATACATCAAAGCCCCTTTTAATTAGAAGATTCCACATAGCCAACACTACACTGGAAGTATAATGACCCACTCTGCAGTGCTCAGTAATGTTCAACACTGAACTATTATAGAATGTTATCTTATCATTTTTTTTTCTAATTATTGCCAGCTACTGTTGCCCTTGTCAACTGTAAGTGTTGTTATTTTGAGGTATAAAAATATAGGCATCATGTCACCTACTAGATCTGTCCTTGGTGACATCAATATATACTGTGGCCTCTAGAGATGAAAGCACCCTTCACATCTGAGCCTGATGACTATAGATCTTTATCACTGGACAAGCACACCATCATGACTCTGCTAGGTGCCTTTTTCCATGATCTTCAACAGGGCACTGCACATGCGATACATGGATTC